TGCAATCCAACCAATTTGGTGAATTAGGCTGCAATGAGAATAACCCAGAAAGGTGAGCCAACTAAAATGCAGGCCTGGGGTGCTCCATCTTCACAGAGTTTGCCCACACTTCCACACAGCATCTTTTCTGGTGTTTTCCCCACTGGCACCAAGTCCCTGCAGGCCTCCCTCCCTCCCACTCCTCATGACCCAGCGGTGGCCAATCTGGCTGGTCAGATGGTCAGAAATGGCTGGCAGCCCTGGATGAACTCCCTCTTCTTTTTCCCCTAGCAGGAGGAACATCAGGACAGACACTGCCACAAATGCCAGGCTCCAGCTTCTGGCCAGCATCTATCAAAAGCTCTGGGCAGAGCCTTGCACAGGGCTGGGTTAACTCCTTGGCCAGGATAAGGCTTTCCTACTCCCAAGAAAAGATAGGTTATTTCCATCCCAACATCAGGGTCTCTAATGGTAGGAGACAAAGGAAAAATAAGCACCTATTTGTGCAGGTCTGCCAGCTCAGGGTACCAGAACACAGGAGGCTTTCTGCTTTTAGGAGAGCCACATTTGCTCAATATGCTTTATAGCATTTCCAGAGAGGGGAGGGCGGGCATGATGAGTCAAGAAGCTGGGCATGGGCCTGGGCCCCTGAACAGAACTGGGAGAAGAGTCTCCTGAAGAAGCATATGTTGGCCACCACACTCTCCTTGACTCTGCTGCAAACCCCCTGTCCCAATGGAACCCCTCAGTGCTGAGGAACCCTGACTGGTCTTAGAACAGCACCCCTAAGCTTTCAGGTGACACCCCCCTGCCATGGAATTGTGATTCTCCTTTGGTAGGGGCAAAAATGAGATTCCTATCTCAGAGCTTGTTCTGCTATCTGAGCAATTTGAAGGTCAAAATTCGTGCGTGTATTTTTCAAAGCAAGTTCGTCTATTCTCAGAGCCACAGAGATGTTGAAAAGGGACAGAAATGAAAAGGCCCATTGAAGCTGTCCACATTTACCCACAACCCAGCCTCCCAACTCCTTCCTCTCTCCTGCATAGCATCTTTATCTGCCAGGAGTCCTATGGATCTAACAATACTTTGGGGCCTACACCCTCCCTATCCCTAACCTCTGCTGTTCATAAGCCTCCCCAGCTGGTGTGTGCCCAGGAATACCAGGTGTTGGTCTTCACTTTTTCTTTTAAGTACTGGTTGAACCAGTTAAACTAGTCTTGCCTTTCCTAAGCTTGGAAGAAAAAAAGAAAAAGAAAAAAACCTGGCAGGCAGCTACTGGAGATATTTGGAACTCTCTGCTCAGGCCAACCCCCATAATAAGAAAAATACTACTTCTATCTGTCTCATTTAGGAGGTTTCTACTTTTTTTTCTTTGGTGGTCGACTAAATTCCATCTTACATAACCATCATAAATTTTCTAAAACTTTCCCCAATTGTTGCCAGCAATTTTGGAAGGTGAATGTGTGGGGGTGTAGATGGGAAGTCTCCAAGGGCAGTGACCAGGAGTTTCAGTGACTTTTCATGAGAAAACAGAACTTCTTTATCATCTAAGAAAGCCTCACCTTGCGTCCTTTCCAGAAAGATTCAAAGAGTTCACACCTCAGAGACTCCAAATGTCTTTAAAATTTTAAGATAAGGCAATACAAAGCACACGAGGCTAAGGTGATGAGAAATTGTGGTAGAATATATTCCTGGAGAAACCATCTGTGGCCCCAAAGTGTGAGTGCTCCATCTGAACTAGAACGGGCTCCTGGTATGTCCTAGGGACTCCTCTCTTCACACACACACACACACACACACACACACACACACCCAGGTTGCAAATGCAGTCTTCCCTACTAAAAAGGTTTAAGCATTTTCAGAAGACAAAGACTGAATATGAGGAGTTCAAGCCACCAAAGCCTCCTTTCCACATTACTCATATACACAGAGGGGCTGGAAATTGAGTCTGAAGCACCTTCATCACTTTCATACAACTCTACTCACAGGATAGGAAGTGACTGGCCTGTGGCCTCTCTGCCTCTGGTGGTAAAAGATTGACTTAAAAAATTTTTTTTTATACAGTGTCTCACTATGTTGCCCAGGCTGGCCTCAAACCTATGATCCTCCTGACGAAGCTCCTGAGCGCTGGGGTTATAGGTGTGCCCATCACACTCAGCAAGGGTTGCCTATTGCAAAAGAACCTCAAGTTTATTGTTTATTTTGGATTTTGGTGTTGGGGATTGAACCCAGGGGTGCTTTACTACTGAGCAACATGCCCAGCCCTTTTTAAATTTTATTTTGGGACAGGGTCTCATTAAGGTGCTGAAGCTAGCTTCAAACTTGAAGTCTTCCTACCTCAGCCTTCCGAGTTGCTGGGATTGCAAGTGTGTGCTATCATGTCAGGAAAGAGCCTCAAGCTTAAAGACTCTAGTTTACACTAGAGTGCACATATGCGCACCCCAGAAAGGTGGCATCTCAAGTAAGATGAGGGGGAAAATGAGAAACAGAATAAAAATAGCAGCCCTCGACCTCCAGCTGGCCAATATAAGGGACCCTCCCCTAGGCTGCTGGTGGGAGGGTGACCAGGAGCACCAGACACTCAAGTGCTGACATGGAGGAGTTCCTGGGGACACCTGAAGGTGTCATGGGCAGTTCTCTGGGAGAAGAGCTGGAGACCCTCAACTTCCCATTTTCTGGCATGGTGGTGTGGGACCACTCCTGACTCAGGGTGGCCCTGAGAACATTCTGTCCTCCACAGCTATTCCTCAGTTCTTCCTTACAACTCCAAGGGCCAAGTCTGCTATAAGGCATCTTTGTGTTCTTATGACAGCAAAGGCAGTGTCTACAGAGAGGTCTCCCCAGCAACACATAGGACAAAAAAGTCTTCAGGAGGCATCAATACATGTGGGACAAAAGTGAATAAAGCATTTGAGGCTGTGGGTGGGGAGGGCCATGAGACACAGGGAAGACTACTCTCCCTCCATGGTTCCAGACAGAGATGGTCAACAGGGACAAAGCTGAGCTTGAGTATGGGAAGCCTGGAGCACACATAACAATGGATTCAGGAACATGGCGGCCGCCAGTCTCTGGGGAACAAGGAAAGGCTGTCTACTGGGAAAGAGAGGGTTTCCAGATACTAGGCAGGAAATATAGGGAAAGGAAACACCAGGGGTAGAGTCAGGGCATGATCTGCCCTGTAGCTGAGGAAAACAGGTAGCATTCCTGCCTACAAAAAGAATCTTTTGGCCATGCAAGTTAAGTAAGAGATTTGAGAATACTGGTTGAGTATCCTAATCAGAATATCTGAAAACCTGAAGTGCTCCCAAAACCTGAAACTTTTTTCCCCCTGGTGTTGAGAATTGAACCCAGGGCTTTTACACAGGCTGAACAAGTGCTCTACCATTGAGCTAAATCCCCAGTCCCCTGAAATCTTTTGAGTGGTGACATGGCTCCCCCAAATTTCAGATTTTTTGGATTAGAGATGTTCAACTGGTAATGTCTATGTAAATGTCCCCAAATCTGAAAAACTCCCAAATTTGAAACACTTCTGTTCTAAGCGTTTCAGATAAGGGTTACTCAAGCTGTGGTAGGATATGTTTTCAGCAGAATTGAGCAGATCAGTCACCGATTTATTTCCCAGAATCAATGGCTGATGCTTTATGTGAGAAGAACATATCTGGTGTGAGGAAAGCCTTTCCAGAAAATGTCCATTGTTAGGATGGGGGCAAGGAAAAACAAGTCTTCAGACTCTGAGATACCATAACTCTTCTAGTCCCTGCTCTGACTTTTTTTTTTTTTTTGTGTGTGTGTGTGTGTGTGTGCTGGGGATTGAACCAGGGCCTTGTGCATGCGAGGCAAGCACTCTACCAGCGGAGCTATTTTCCCAGCCCCCTGCTCTGACTTTGAGAGGCTGGGCCTACTGCAGGGTTGGCCAACACCCATGAAGTTCTCTGATGAACAGAATTTGGAGATCAGTTTAAAGACATAAGAATGGACAACCACAGTGCCCCAGCAGCATAAGCTAAGCGGCACTATGCCATCTATCTGGAAAACTGCCATAAGAAGCCTATGGAAGGCCTTGCCTCTCCCACGACCACTGCCAGCCATGTGTCAGGCTCTGTGCTAAGGTAAGGGGTTTTCTGTGTAATATATCTTAGGTCTGAGAATCCCATGGATGAGGGAATACTATCACCATTTTATGGACCAGAAAACTGAGGCCCTACTATGCTAAGCAACTTATCTGATATAATAGTGAGTAGTAGAGGAAGGTCCTAACTCAGATCAGCTGAACTCTGAATCTTTACTCATAGTATACCAGGCAGGTGTTGACACTTTTTTGTCCCTGGAGATGTTAGGGAGACTTGAATGTCACAGAATCCTGGGCTCCATGATCCCCCCTCCTGCTATACTCACTGCTTAGTTTCAAGGCAGCCTCCAAGGTAGGAAGCCTTGGTGGAGCATTGAGGCTGTGTGACAGCACTTGAATCCATAAATGGTGTCCTTAGATTCACTGATTCCCTGATGCTCTCTGCTGCAGGGAGTCAGAGGGCTTAATCAGGTGTTCACCTGAGTTGCAAAGTGAGGTGATGACCAGGCTTCCAGTATCCTGTGCATACCACCAGCGCACAGACTCCCATTCCCCAGGGAGGGACAATGCTCCTGCTAGGCCCCTTTGCTGGCTTTTAGAGTGAGTCTGGCTATCTTGGGGTCTGCTATGGTCAGGTGTGCAAAGGGTGAAAGAATGGGTATGTCCCTCAACTAGAGTCCATGAAACAGAAGGGGTAGAAGGAAGATTATTGACGAAGCCCTGAGAGCTTTCACGGTGCCATGGACCTGACCCTGGGCCTACCTTTCTTGGCCCATTTCTTTGCCACTAACTTAAATTTCCAGCTCCCTGAAACAACAGGTTTCTTACCACCATGTAGGCATTCCTGCCATAAGGTGAATAAAACTCTATACAGTTCCCCTCAATCAGAGGCTCCTCCAGATCTGGCTATACCCACAACAACCTCAGGAGGCCAGCAAGGCCCAGCCCTTACCATTGTATGAGAGGCGAGGTTTGCTCAGACACATTATAAAGTGCATTTCCATCTCATCAGAAGCCACAGACTTGGAGCAAATGGGGCACTTGAAACCTGAAAGAGAGGAGAACAGAATGAAATGTCTTCTCCAAATCCAAAGGATCTACAATAAATGTAGACACACTCAAATGATGACGGCTGTGTAGGGGTAGCATCAACATGGACAATGACAATCTAGACCAACATGACTGTGGCCTTTCCATCACAGCCTTTGGCTCCCAGTTTTCTCTAAGGCTCTCTTGTCACATACCCTTTGATAATGTTAAACAGAGGTCACCGATATGTGGTTTTAGCTTAATTTTCTTCATGACCCTTTCTCAATAGGGTCTAGTAGACAACAAGGATAGAGGAAGCAAATCAAGACAACTGAATAATCAATCTTTTTCTATGGGGGCTACTGGGGACTGAACTCAGGGGCACTCGACCACTGAGCCACATCCCAGCCCCATTTTGTACTGTATTTAGAGACAGGGTCTCACTGAGTTGCTTAGTGCCTTGCCTTTGCTGAGGCTGGCTTTGAACTCATGATCCTCCTGTCTCAGCCTCTTGAGCTGCTGGGATTATAGGCATGCGCCAACATGCCCAGCCTGAATAATCAATCTTTGAATAACAAAGAATTTAATACTTTTCTGCCTCACAGTCTTCAAACCATTTGGCTAAATCACCCTTGGGAGGAATTACCATAGTCATTGGTACCTCCATCCCTCAACCTGCTCAGACTCCTCAGCCACCCAGCCAGGCAGCACCTTCATTCCTCACTCAGCACACCCTGTGCCTCCTTCATGGCTAAGGCAGCTGTCTTCTGGGAAGGAAAGCAGCAGTGTAGCCCTCCAAAAGTGCTTCCAAATGTCACCAAGCAAAATAGCTATTTCGAGGTGCCAGGTGAACACAGGGTTTCATGATCTGCTATTTTGTTCCCAGGGAAGTTTGGACCATTTATATTCCCAAAGGTTTCATTAGCACTGTTTCAGTACTAGTGAATTCTGGTCAAGCATCTTTTGTGTTGAACTCAATGCATTAAGTAAACCTAATCCCTAGATTCTTTTTTTTTTTTTTTTTTTTTGTTATCCTGGGGCTTGAACTCAGGGGCACTTTACCACTGAGCTACTTCTTCTTACTAAGTTGCCAAGGTTGGCTTTGAATTTTTGATCCTCCTGCCTAAGCCTCCCAAGTCACTGGGATCACAGGTGTGCACCACTATGCTTGGATCCCTAGTTTTCCTTTCTTTTTTTAATACAATATAAACAAATATTTTCAATCTTTTCCATTTTACTTTTATTGAAATAATTGTTAAATGGGTCAATTATTTTCCATGTAAATTCTACCAAAAAGATTCACTGCTATTGAAAAGTTATTTATTTATTTGCATCAGTTTATATGTAACACAGCTTTTCTTTCGTGACTATGATTCCTACTTGCCCATCTGCACTTCCTAATATGGCATATCTAATTCCTTATGTGAAGATTTCACACTCCTGTTACTTTTTGGTCAAATTTTTCACCCACAATTTTATTTGATGTTGGTAATGACTGTCTTTAGTATTAGTTATGAAACAGATAAAAGGCCAAGCACTCAAAATTGACAGTTGTTGGTCTCAGAACAGAGAAGAGTTCATACCTTCCCAGTGTTCTTCCTGTGGCTACTTCCCTCATCTGTGTGGAAAGTTGTGACTGGGGTGGGTGGCACTGAGGTAGGAAGCAAGCTGGCACAAGCATTTGCTTCAAGTCTCCCAAATACTCTTTTTTTCCAGTGACAATGCTTTGAACTACAGGACCAAACAGTAAATTCAGGGCCTAGTTAACTATGGTCAAAGTGGACACTTCACTCTATGGAATGGTCCCCAATCCCTTAAGACCTTCCCTCAAAGATTATCAATATCTAAGCATCTCAGCTAAAAAGCCTTGGAAATGGTACCAATCCAGGGACTCCAGACAAATTTTTTTCATTTCTGACCTCTGTACAGTTAAAAATCCAAGACTGAAAAAAGAACTTAGGAGTAAAGAGAGTGGTATTCCACCCTCAATTTTCTGGTAGAATTGGTTCTAAAATGCACCAGGCTGATTATTTTATAATCCAGTTTAAAAATGTGCAGATCCAGTGCCACATACACAAGAGAGATGAGGAAAGAACCTGAGTCCTAGAATGAAGATGCTCTTCATTTCTAACCCCAGTCCCTTGGTGTTCTCACAGTGTTGTGGTTTTTTTCCAATTCAAAAGAACAAGGTTTTGTAAACTTTAAGTGGCTACAGGACACCTGCACTTTGAACTTGCTAAGTTAGTATCCTGCTTGCAGACTGAGGGCTGAGACTGTGGTAGCACGGAGGGAGGTACTCTTTGAGGTCCTTTTGAGGTGTTCAAAGTAATCTTTTACCAGGAAAAGCCTTACACTTCCCCACTTTCCTGATAACTTAGAATAGATGCACGGTTACCCAATATAAGCATATGCACTCCCTGTATTCCAGTGTGGTTCCTTGAGTGCAGAAGGGGGGTCAATTTACAGGTAAGGTGTTGGCAAGTAGGCCACCCAAAAAGAAGGTCTACCAGGACATGTCACCAAATGTGTATGTCATGGGGGAAAAAGGATCAGAGCAACCCTCTCATTATACAGAGGAGAGAATAGGCCCCAGTGAGGCCTTGGAGTCTTGAAAGGTCACATGAGTGACATGGTAAAGCCAAGACTAGACTTCTTAGCTCTGAGCCCAAAGTTCTTCCACTAGGGAAGAAAGAGTTAGCCACAGCGTTTTAAGAAAGAGGTAGGTGCTGGAGTTGTGGCTTAGAGATAGAGTGTTTGCCTAGCATACATGAGGCACTGGGTTCAATCCTCAGCACCACATAAAAACAAAATGGAGGAAGGAAAGAAGGAAGGAAGGAAGGAAGGAAGGGAAGGAGGGAGGGAGGAAGGTTTGGAGGCTGAGAATGCAGCTCAGTGGCAGAATGCCTGCCCACTTCCCTCCATGCATGAGGCCCAGGATTCAATTCCTGGCACTGCAAAAAAGAAAAAAGAGGTAGACCGGGAGATGTTGCCTCTGGAGAGGAAGAAGCTTGGTGACAGGAGGCCTGCATTTTAAACAAAGGGAGGTTAGTGCCCCTGGGTGCTTTTGTTATGTGTTATTTTGTGAAAGCTCACAAAATAACCCTATGTAAGTGGGAAATGGGAAGATGACCCAGATGTTCCAGCTTCAAGACCCTGGCAACTAATCTACCCCTTGTGGACCTTAAACTCCTCATCTGAAAGATAGGGGAATTCATTTCACTCTTGCAAGGATTAAATGAAACAAGAAACATGGAAGTATGTGAAAAGAAGTGAACCAAACATAGGTGGTAGAATCATCATTGGGCCAGGTGGCACTGGATGGGACAGGAACGAACAAAAGGGTTAAAGGAAGGACTTAGGATAACTGCGGTCTATGGTGATGTACTTGTAGGACCCTGAACAAGGGAAGACTGGCCACAGGCCAAGCAGTCTGCTGGAAGTGGCCAGCAGCCACATCTCTGCTGGATCCCACAGTTTCCTTTGAACTTCTAGAGCACTGTGCACGGCTACTGGCACTTTCCATACCGCCAATGTGGAAACAACAGTCTGTTTAACCTCTACGGCACCACCTCTTGCATATGATGATAAAGAAATAACACTTTGCCATTTACTGACTTATTTGTATGGACAGTCACTGTCCAAAAAGGATTTACATGCCTTCTCATTGCAAGGTCAAAATAAGGTAGGTGCTTATTTTATTAACTCTTATTTTATTATTAACTCTGTTTTACAGACAAAGATATTGAGGACCACAAGATTAAAGAAGCTGTTCTAGGTTAATGCAGCTAGAAACAGCCAGAGCTAGGACATGACCAAAGTGCCCACGGAGCTGGTACTTCTGTGCCACTGCTGGCTAGCACAGAAAGAGGTGTTACATGGCAAAACGAACACAGATATGGTCTTAGTGAATACTCATTTCAAACCTTAAAACATGTCGTTGCATTTCTCCTGAAGTACCCATGGTTCTGAATAATCCCATCACAATGGTGAATTTAGTTGATTTTTCTGGGAATTCTGTTAATGTGGAAGAACAGAGTTCTGCTTTCCACTTGGCACTGAGCCTACAGTACTGGTTAAGATGTTGGGTTTACAAATTACCTTTTAAATGGAAAATAAAAGAAAAAAGAGGGACAGAAAAATACAGAGAGCTAAGGGAAAAAAAACTAATGTCCCCACTTTCTTTCCTAAAAGGTCATCTGATGATCACGACGGATTCTACTACTCTACTGCCCCAATCTTTTCTCGTAATTGTCCAGCCTTGATTCAGCACCAATAGCCCTATGGAATGATAAATACTGTGATGTTTGTGAGCTATCTGAAGGTAAAATATCTAGGAAATTTTGATTCCATTTGGAAAGAAGTCTGTACCAAATGAAAAACAGCCCTGCAAACAAAAATAAACCAATGATCTGCAGAGTAATCCAGTTCACATGACTCTGTCAAATTTTCTCAGAGGCCTCAGAAGCACTTGAGAACAGTGAATCAGGGAGGCTTTACATTCTTTCAAGAGAAAGCCTCAGGTAGGCTCTTCAGAATTCTCTCAAATTGTTCTTAGATCAGATGCTGCCTGGTATACCCTGGAGGCAGGGGAAGAGAAGCCAGCCCTCCAAGGCCTTCAGGTGCCTGTCCACCTGTATTTGTTACATGTCTGCCACTAACATGGAGGGAGATGTCAGCTAGCTCCGGCTTGCTGGCCAAGTCTGACCCTCATTCACCTTAAGCCACTGTCTCTTGCATCAAACTAAGGCAAAGGTAGGAACTTGGTTCCTGTCCTTTTCTGCCAGTGTCTCAGAATGAGGAAGAACTGTCTGACAGTACCGTAGGTAACTTATCTGTGATGGTCCTATTCTGTGCTGGTGGCTCGATACAGCAACTGATGATATAGGATTCCACTGAGAGTAGCCAAGAGAGTAATGCTAATGAAGACCTCATTTCTTTCCTTTTTCTTATCATCAGATAGGTTGTTTCTACATCCAGAAGAATGGAAGAGAGTCCAATTCATCAGGCACTGTGCTTACA